AAAAAAAAAAAAAAAGAATTTTAGGGCCCATTTGCTTTCTTTCGGTGTATTTTTTTAATTTAATATTTCCAATTCTTCTGGGTCTCTTAGGTTTTAGGATATTGATCTATGTTAATCCAGACTATCTTTTAGCTACATTTGGTCTCCTTGATGGAAAATGTTGGTAATACAGTCCTGGATTTTCACGCTAGGAGTTGCTAGAAATGGCAGAGGTAGAGTTAATGTACATTAAAAAAAAAATCTATCAGTGACTGGTGCACAGCAGGCACATAATTTTGAAGTCACTTTCCTCATCTCAAAAAGGTTCTCTGTTTCTCCCCTTAGCAGCACAGCACAGTATGGTAATGTGGTGGCTAAAAGTCTAGATGGACCCAGTAAAATTCCCCCTTCCTTTTAGTTCCTAACAGTGTGTCCTTGAACAAGTTACCTTCTCTCTCAGAGCCTGGTTTTCTTCAGCTGTAAAATAAGAAGAATTAGAGTAGCTGTTTCACAAGATGATCATGAGACTTAAAGAATGCATGTAAAGTGGTTAGCATAGGGCCTGACATGTAGAAAGCTCTTAATTTTATTACCAGTTTCATTTTTTCTCTATTACCAAGCAACCATGGCCTTAGAATAACAGGCAGGGCTGATAACTGTGCTTCACAGCAAGAAGGAAAAAAGTTGGGGGGGGGCTTCCCACATCTAATAACTCTTGCAAAGGGCCCCATTTCTTAAATAGGGCTGCTGGAATCTGTCTGTGAGATTTGACTGGCCACTCTGACAATGCATTCCCCTCCCCCTTTCAGCAAAGACCAACTATCAAGCTTTGATAACAAAAACGCAGCTCCCCCCTTCCCCTCCCCCCCCATAATTCCTCCTGAAATCCTAACCGGGATTTGAAAAACACCCGGATATGGTCAAAGAACCATCCCGGGTTTTGTACCAAACCAGGCCAAACAAGACATTCCAAAAGTTTAGTTTTGGGAAAAAAAGGCACCCAGCATTGCCCTCTCTTCTATTCGCTCCACTCTGGTAACACCAGCCAAATTGGAACCTTGGGCTTATTTATGAGAAGGGCTCTGTAACTCGGGATACTTACTAACTGAACAGGGCTGACCAACTCACGCTGCGGTCTGCAGTTCAGCATCATTGGGCCGCTGACATAAATATGGAAGGGTTTACCCTAGCAAAGGTAAGCTTTGTTTCCTCTCTTTCCAAACCCTACCTCACCTTCCTTTCTTTGCAAAAACCTTTATTTGGCTGAGTTTAGAGGAGTCCTAGGCCACTGGGAAAGTCAGTGTCAGAGAGATTGGAGGAAGATTGGCTGGGTGGGCAGGGAAGTTAAAGTGAACAATAGGCCCCTTTCATTCCTCTCGCCAAAATGACCAGGACCACACTGGCTTGACCACTTCAAGGATAGTCATGGAGTTGTATAGAGTAGTTAATTTTCTTGTTGAAATAATGTGCTCATTTTCTGGGTCACAAATTGAGTTTATTGAGGTGATGGATCTGAGGGCTACATAAATGGGAACCTCAAACACTTAAAAACAACCACTTGGTTTCATGTTTTGAGATCCAAATTGGCATAGAATAAGCCAATAAATGATAGCCGAACCAAACTATCAGCTTAAAATCAAAATTATTTCTCATGCTTAGTGTCTAAATAGCAGAAATATTTTAGAAAACATGGGTTCATATTCTGGCTTTGCCAGCAACTGGCTGCCTGACTTTGAGCAAATACCTTTACCTCTCTGGCCTCAGTTTTCTGTATGTCACACCAAGGGGTTGAAAAAAGTTGGTTTCTAAAAGTCTTTATGGATGTATGAATCTATAACACATTTGATCTATTGTATTCCAAGCTCTTTGCTAGGCGCTCAAATCCATCATTTTGTTTGAACTTCAAAACAATCCTGTGAGATAAATATTCCCATTTTTCGATTAGAAAACTGAGGCTCAGGTAGAAGTGATTTGTTGAAAGGTCACATAGCTATTACAGGCAAGAGGAAGGATTTGAATCCAGGTCATCTAATTTAAAATCAGTTTGTTTTCTATGATACCACAACTGAGGTATGAAAATAAAGCAGTCTTATTACCACAAATGCCAATATATAGTGGAATCATATTGTCCCTGGAATGGTATGGTGATGATAAGCTGGACATTATTGCCAGGCTGGGGAATTAGGAATCTTAGGGTTTAGTACTGGCTCTCAGGACTTCAGGTGAGTCCCTTCCTTTCTGGGCTTCAATTTTCCCACCTCTGGCATGCCAGGATACAGTAATAATGATTAAATAATAATATAAATTGTACTTGTACTATCTGGAACACTTTGGAGCTTTTAACACTCTCTCCATTTTCCCTCCCTGAAGAGAAAGGCCTATACCTACTGAAGGTGAGAAAACCTCCATATGGAATCTATTTTTTTTTAAGTTTTTATTCAAATCCTGTTAGTTAACATACAGTGTAATATTAGTTTCAGGTGTACAATATAGTGATTCAACACTTCCATACAACACGTGGTGCTCATCACAAGTACACTCCTTAATCCCCATCACCTATTTAACCCATCCCCCACCCACCTCCCCTTGGGTAACCATTAGTTTGTTCTCTATAGTTAAGAGTCTATTTCTTGATTAGCTCCCCCCTTTCTTTCCCCTTTGCTTGTTTGTTTTGTTTGAGTCACAGAGTGAAGAAAGAACATTAAAGCATTAAGAAAACAGAGAACCAAAAGGTCAATCCTGATGGAGGGTTCTATTAGAAAAGCTGCCAGGATTAGAGACAGGCCCCCAAGATTAGCTCAGCATTCCTGTGTTCAGTTGAGTGATCTTTTGTCTAGAATGAGCCTGTCCAGCCCCGTGTAGCCCAACACAGAGAGATGGAGGGAGAGAAAAGAGCATTGTGGCATTAAAGGAACAACTTGTAAATCCTAGGGAAAACAGTAATGCAAATTGTTAGGGGTAATGGGGACCAGGCCCATGTGGCATTTTGACAACAGGAAGATGAGGTAAAGGAAGGAGAGGCTTGACTTGCTGCTGAGTTTCTCCCTAAGGCTATTTTCAAGTGTACATTAATTAAACTATGTCTAATTCCAAGTAGTCCAGCAATTAGTTCACCCTTTCTCTCTCTCTTTTTCCATCTCCATCTCTCCCTCTCTCTGTTTCCCCCTCTCCTCCTTTGGGCACCTCTTCATTCTGCCTTTCTTTGCTTTTCTTTCTTCTCTTTTCTTCTTTCTCCCTTTCCTTTCCCTTTCCTCTCCTTTCCTTTCCTTTCCTCTCCTCTCCTTTTCTCTTTGTTTCTTTTTCTTTCTTTCTTTCTTTTCTTTCTTTCTTTCTTTCTTTTTCTTTCTTTCTTTCTTTCTTTCTTTCTTTCTTTCTTTCTTTCTTTCTTTCTTTCTTTCTTCCTTCCTTCCTTCCTTTCTTTCTTTCTTTCTTTCTTTCTTTCTTTCTTTCTTTCTTTCTTTCTTCTTTCTCCCAGGACTCTTGCTTACCTTACCTATTTCATTTCTTTTTTTTTTTTACCTTTCCCTTAATTTTTCCTCCTCAGTCTGACCTTTCTTTAAGACTTCCTTCTATGGACTCAGCTGAGAGAAAACAGCCCTGCCCAAATGAAAAGTTTACATAAGGATTTACATCCTTTATCTCATCAAATTTCCATAGCAAACTAATGAGGAACCCAAAGCAGAGATTATCCCCATTTAAGAGATCATCACCATGTATGGCTCAGGATATTAGGTGATACAACTAATACATGATGTCATACAACTAATACATTAGGATTCCAGAACTAGAACCTGTGAAACTCTTACCCAGGGTAGTTTTATCTCTAGGTAAGTGAGTTTAAGACACAATAGCTTTGCTGGCATCTTTATGAAATGGAAGTTTAAATGAGGCCTATGTTATATCTAGACTTTTATTGAACCAAGGACACCCCCTTCCTGTCAAGGGTTACCTTATGTGGGACTATATTTAAACACATGTAAATGCACCTATGTTTTATCACTGAATGTGAGTATTGGCAGAGTGTGAGAGCCTAAAATAATTCTTTGAGAGCTCTTTATGTAAAACATTTTTTGTAGTTCTGCATTTTTGCATTTCATTATATTCTCAAACATTCATGACCCCCAAAATGTAAGAACTATATAGGGCTGCTCCATTATATTATAGGTAGGAAAACTCAGGCTTACTAAGGTGAATTGCTGAAAGTCATTCTTTGAAATCAGTGGCAAACTTGAACCAGAGTCAACTGGTGGGAAAATGTATGTTTGTGTCACTTTTATGGCACTCTAGCGGTAGCTGTTTATGGTATACCTACAGAGCCCCCATAACCATTTTTGGCAATAGATACACAAAGACTTCTAAGATATGACATCCACCTTCAAAGAGTTTATAGTCCAATCTTGGAAATAAAGACAGTTCATGAACCAGCTCACAGAAAGGTAACAAAGCAGTTGGGTGTTATAGAGAATAAGTAGTCTTTCAGAGGACACTGATATGGAGAGCCTACAAGAGGCCTTCTGGGGAAGTTAAGATTTAAGTTAGCCCTTAGAGTAAAAATATAGAACATATGGTGTGTCAGGAGACAGTAAAGATAAATAAATTGTAGCCAGGTGGGAGAAGGAGAAGTAAACAAGCAGTTACTTTCTGTTATGTTCTAAACACGAATTGTACTGGGACCTTTTCATGTAAGTTTTCTAATTTATTTCTCCAAGGTTGACATTATTATAAATATTTTATAAGTAAAAAAACAAGTTTAGGGTGGTAAAGTATTACCCAAGTCTACACAACTGGTCAGTGGGAGACCCAGGTTTTGGAAAGAAAAACCCAGGAACTGGTCCTCCTCTATATCAAGAGCTTTCTGACAAATGTCATATGGAAACTGGGAATTAATACTTGGGCCACTGTTGTGTGTTGAAGGGCCTGAGATTTTGTAGAGGTGTCTATTGTTCTGTTTATTAAACAAGGTAAATATCTAGGCCTAGCCAGGGTAAATATCCAGGAATTTCCTGTCCATATGTGAGTCTATGCATACCTTTGATTTTCTATTTTTGTTTAATAGTCCCTATCTCATGTGTTTAGGTCTAGAATTTAGTGAAATAATTTATATAAACCACTGAACATGGTGTTTAGTATACAGTAATCTCTCAATGAATGGTAGCTTCCATAATTATTATCCTCATCATGAATGGTATCAATTAGATGTAACTCTTCCTATATGAGTATGTATGTCTGTTTCTAGAAGTGATTATAACAACATGTGGTTGCATATTTCAGAGTGTATGGAGCTTTCCCAGATATAGCTATGGCTATGAGCATATGCATATTCTCTGTGTATATATGTATGTGAGTGTGCAAGTCTACCTTGTGGAAGGTGGTATAGTATAGTGATCAAGAACATAGACATTAAAGTCATAACTTCTGGGCTCACAAACCAATTCTACTGATTGCTAATGAGGTGACCTTGGGCAAATTACTTTGTACTTCTGTAGTTTCTTCTTCTGTAATATAGGGAAAATAATGGCATATGCTTCATAGTGTGGTTTTGATGATCAAATTATTTAATCTATATAAAACACATAGAATAGTGTTTGGCTTGCCATGCACACACAATAATATTGATTTATTATTATTGTTATTATTATTATTATTTTAAGATTTTATTTATTTATTTGACAGAGACACAGTGAGAGAGGGAACACAAGCAGGGGGAGTATGAGATGGAGAAGCAGGCTCCCCACTCAGCAGGGAGCCTGATGTGGGGCTCGATCCCAAGACCCTGGGATCATGACCTGAGCTGAGGCAGACGTTAAACAACGGAGCCACCCCTGTTGTTGTTGTTATTATTATTATTATTATTATTATGAAAGTAATAAGGCTCTGTGTGACAGTGTGGTTTTATATGTGGATGCAAGTGTGTGCATTTCTGGTTTTAATTAAGACTACATGCACTTATGTCTGCTTTTAGATAAGACTGCATGTACTTATGTATATGTGTATTTATATTATTGTCTGTGTTTCTGGGTTTGACTGTAGCTGTGTATAATTTGACTGAATGCTTCATCCCATCCCCAAGAAGTCTAGCCTTTTGGCAGATGTACTGGAGTGAGAGGCTAGAGACTCAGTTCTTACTCTGACTCAGGATTGGTCTAAATGGGTTTGTGCATAGCAGAGAACCAGCAGAGAATATTTCTTCTGAGACGTTAATATTTGCCTCACATATTTTCACTTGTTTTCTTTCATTATTCACTCTTTTTGAGGCATAACACACATGCAGAAAAGTGCACAAATGTTAAATTCATAGCTTAATATATTTTCACAAACTGAATACACCCATGTAACCAGTATGTAGATCAAGAAACATAACATTACCTAGAAGCCTTTATCCTCTTCTTTCCTCAGTCACTTATCCCTTCCTAAAGGGCAAACACTATTCTGGCTTCTAACAGCATAGATTAGTTTTGCCTGATTTTGTACTTTACATAAATGAAATCATACAGTATGTATTCTTTTATCTGGTTTCTGGTGTCTTTTTTCTTTCTGCAACATTACATTTGTGAAAGACATCTATATTTTTATTTGTAGTTTGTTCATCATCATTGTTATATAGAATTCCATTGTATGAATAAAATACAATTTAGTCATTCATTCTAGTGTTCATGGACATTTTGGCTATTTCCATTTTTAGGTCTATGAACATTCTAGTAAATGTTTTTTGGTAAATTATCATTTGTTTTGAAACAATTCATGGAGGATGGAAAGTGTCAACAAAGGAAAAAGAGGCATAGGGAGAATTGGTGACTTGATTTAGGCACCAAGTGAGTCAGTGGCCCAATCAGGTTTCTGGTGCCTGTTTCCTGATTCTTGGGCCAGAGTACATTCTTCCTTTTACACTTCTGAAGGAACTGTATCCAGGCTTCTAATCTGAAAGAAGTGATGCATAATTATCACTATAAGTGACTTTTCAACTTTGCTTTCCGAAGTCCAATGTACACAGATCATTGAATGTTTCTTGAGCTGAAACGTATGAGGTAAGGGAGAGATTCGGAGCTAATTGGTTTTTGCTTTCTCAGGCACTTGGTTTGGCTCTTGCCTCTTCAGTTTTCCAGACACATGCAAAGCCCTTCTGTTTTCTTTCTTTCATTCCAGCAGCTATTCATTTGCCAGTTTCCCAGAGTAATGTGGGCCATGGAAGCAGGCCATCTCATCTGGGCTCTGTTGTTGATGCAACCTTTGTGGCCCCATCTGACTGAAGGGGCCACTCGAGTCTACTACTTGGGCATCCAGGACGTGCAGTGGAACTATGCTCCCAAGGGAAGGAACGTCATCATGAACCAGACTCTGGACAATGACACGTATGTTTAATCATTTGTGGAATTATAGCTGGAGTTGGTGGGGGGGGCACCCTTGAGGTCAGGAAGTAGCCTTTTGAAGATCTTTTCTCAGGGTGTGTCAGCAGCCAGCTCCTGATCTCCATGGCCATATACCCAGTGGCACATTTGCTGGTAAGAATGTTAGTTGACTCAGGAGACAGCAACCTACATGGAGTATGCTTTTCCACACTGAGGTGCCTCAGCATTTTTAGGGTCCTAAAAGTAATTCCATATTCTCTTGATTTTAAAATGATATCTATAACACTTTCAAAAAAGAAAAAAAAACATGAAATATATACAGTATTTATAAGATGTGTGTGATGGAACTATGCTCCTATAGTTGAGTGGAACTACATTGATTTTGGATATGTGAAAATGTGAAAAAATATGGTAAGCCTCAGAATCAAGGAAATAATAGTAATAGCTATCACTTATGTAACAGTCTCTCTATGACAGTCACCATACTAGGAATTTACATACTTTTTCTCACCTAATTCTCACAAAAGCTTTAGGAGGTGAGTATGAATATCCTCATCTTACAGATGAGAAAACTGAGATTCAAGCCCAAGTCCTACAGCTAGTAAATGGAAGAGCTGGAATTCAAGCCTGGGTAATGTGGATGCAAAGCTAGTACTCTTCTCACCATTCTGCCTTTCACAGATTCCATAAGATTAACCTTTCTTAATCTTAGAGCCTTGCTGATGTTCCACAAATATCTGTTAAAAAGAATATATTAAAGAATCTTTTGTGATCTTGAATCACTTTGCCTCCCCAAAGCCTCAGAATTTTCCAAAGTTGACTGTAATATCTCAGAGCTCTCTAGGACGTATTAAAGTAAGAAAAGCAGCTTTTTTTTTTTTTACAAACCACCTTCTGGTCCATCTAGTTTTGGAGTAACAGAATCTTTTTATCAGAGGTGTCCTTGAGGGATAACTTCATTATCTTCCATCCCCAATACTTTGAAATAATAGTTAGCATTTATTAAGCTTTTACTATTTTCCAGGCACTGTCCTAAGCTCTTTATGTATTTTAATTTTTTTAGTCACCAGTATTGACTGTCTGAACTTGGTACCATGATTATGTCCATTTTACAGATGGGAAAACTGTGCATAAAGCAGTTAAGTAACTGGCTCAAAGTCCCACAGAGTTGGAAATGGTAATATGGGCATTTAATCAAGTCATCCCGGCTCCAGAACTTGTGATCTTAACAACTATGCTATAAGATCTCTCATATATAGCAAGATGACGCAAGGTCAGGCCATATGGATTGGGAGTTGATCACTTAAAAAGAGTCAGTCCATATTTGATTGTCTCCCCATTACTATATATTAGGTGGAACTATGTGAAATTGCCTTTTTTGGAGGTTAAAAGTGGTCAAATATCAGCAATTTTATATGCTTTATTTTTTAAAAGATTTTTTTTGATTATTTATTTGAGATAGAGAGAGAGACAGCATGAGCAGGGGGAGGGACAGAGGGAGAGGGAGGAGCAGACTCCCTGCTGAGCAGGGACCCCCCCCCCACCAAAGCAGGGCTCGATCCTAGGACCCTGGGATCACAACCCAAGCCGAAGGCAGGCACTTAACTGACTGAGCCACTCAGGTGCCCCAATTTTATATGCTTTAATTTAATGCTTCCCATTGTCTAAAAGTTAGACTCTAACCTGTGTTTTGATCAGTACAATCTCATTTTCCCTTGTTTTGCCCTAAACAAAAATAAACATTTTTGGTCAGCTTCATCTGGAAAAAGAACTCTCCAGAGTTTTGAACACTGTGGCAAAATTCTGAGTCTTTCTCTTCTTCCTTCCCAGAGTAGCTTCCAGCTTCCTAAAATCTGACAAGAACCGGATAGGGAGCAGTTACAAGAAAACCATTTATAAGGAATACAGAGATGGTTCATACATGGATGAGATGGTCCAGCCTGCTTGGTTGGGCTTCTTGGGGCCAGTGTTGCAGGCTGAAGTGGGAGATGTCATCCTTATCCACCTGAAGAATTTTGCCACTCGTCCCTACACCATACACCCCCATGGCGTTTTCTATGAAAAGGACTCAGAAGGTAAATCAGACCAACCTTTCTTTCTCCTGTCCACAATAAATTTTCTTTTACTAATATTTGAGAAAGAGGAGCTAGGAATGAGAGTAGACTTTTTTCTCCTTATTGATCTGAGGTAGGAGGGGCACTCCCAGAAAAACTGGTAACTAATGTTATCACTTCTGCTATTCATACGCCATGACTTTGGGCAAGCCACTTCCCCTCTCTGGGCCTCATATTCTTCATTATGTATATGGAGATTCAATCTGCCTTTTATCACAAAGAATTACTTGAAGGACATTTCCATAAAGTATTTGGCTGTGCTTTGGAAAGAGAAAAGTGTGCTGTGAATGTAAGGGAGGGCTATTCTAGTGTCATGGTCTTCTGAAAGGTCCATTTTTTTTTAAGAGGAAGTTCAGTTTACTAATCTGTATCCCCCATCCAATGGCCCATAATGACACAACAGTGAGTGATGGGAGTAGAAAGGGAATCCAGGTTTTGACTGGGCCACTAACTCCTGTATAGCCTCAGACAAGTTATTTTTCCTGTTTTCTCCTCCATAAAAAGGGTAAGTGGACCAACTGATCATTAAGTTGGCTTCATTTATAAAATTTTAATTCTAATATAGTTAACATACAGAGTTATATTAGTTTTAGATGTACAATATAGTGATTCAACAATTCCATACCGCAACCAGTGCTCATGACAAGTGCCCTCCTTAATCTTCATCACCTATTTCACCCATCTCCCCACCCACCTCCCCTCTGGTAACCATCAATTTGTTCTCTATAGCTAAGAGTCTATTTCTCAGTTTGTCTCTTTTTTTCCCCTTTGCTCATTTGTTTTATTTTTTTAAATTCTACATATAAGTGAAATTATATATTTGTCTTTCTCTGACTGACCTATTTTGCTTAGCATAATGCTCTCTAGCTCCACTCATGTCATTGAAAATGGCAAGATCTCATTCTTTTTTATGGCTGAATAATATTCCATTATATATATATATATATATATATGTATGTATATCACATCCTTATCCATTAATGGATGGACACTTGGGTTGCTTCCATAATTTGGCTATTGTAAATAATGTTGCTATAAACATAGGGGTGTATGTACCATTTAGAATTAGTATTTTTGTATTTTGGGGGGTAGATACCCAGTGGTGTGATTATTGGATCATAGCATAGTTCTATTTTTAATGTTCAGAGGAATTTAAGTTGGCTTTAGATTGAAATTCTGTAATTGTCTGCTTTCTGTTTTCCAAAGTGAGTGCTTGAAGGGGGGAATTCTATCTTCTTTCTCACTTCTATGCCACTGGTTTTGTACTAGGATACTATTAGATCAGGCTGTGAAGCACTTTCCATGGCCATAGCTCCTTTTCCAATGGCTGTCACCTCTCCACCCATAGCTGATGTGAGGTCTGGGATTCTTTGGCTGGATATTACCTGAATATGTATACTCAGGTTGTGAGGAACACTGTCTCATATGTCAGCTCTCTCTTGGCTTCTATATCTGCCAGGCTCCCTCTCACTTACCCTGAGACTGGGCATGTGCAATTTCATTTTCTAGGCTCCTTATATCCAGATGGCTCCTCTGGTCAGCTAAAAGCTGATGATTCTGTTCCTCCGGGAGGCAGCCACATTTACAACTGGACCATTCCAGAAGGCCATGCACCCACTGATGCTGACCCAGCATGCCTCACCTGGATCTACCATTCTCATGTAGATGCTCCACGAGACATTGCAACTGGCCTCATTGGACCCCTTATCACGTGTAAAAGAGGTACAGGCCCCATAGGGAGCTACTGAGATGCAGTGTGGGATATCTACAGGAAGCAGTGATGTAACTGAATCACCTACATATTGAACAGCAACCTGAAGGGATGTTAATTCAGCACCCTTGTTTATTAGCAGGAATAAACCCTGCTAAACTTTTTTCCCACTATTTTTCCCTATTTCATTACCTTTAAAAACTTTAATATTTTCTTATTTCATTTTAAAACCTTGATTTAGTAATGATGGGAGTCAAACCACATAAAAGTAAGGCATGTGATAAGAGTTTAAGTGTGGTTAGGATCAAAAGTATAGCCATCGGTATTTGGGGAGAATTGGGGAACTTTGTTGGAAATATGGTATGTTTAAATATTGTCAGACCTGGAAGACCTGGGTGTTGCAGGAGAATGGTCAGATTAAGGCCCTGGGTTGAAGATACAGGCAGGGATGGTGGGAGGGAATTATTCTAGGTCCTGTATGTCCAGTCTTCAAGTCCTAGGCTCAGCTGAATTGACTTTAACTGGGGAAATAGAAATTTGGAAATAGAAATTAAGAGCAGAAGGCCTTATCTCCTTTTCTGTTGCCAAAAGACTTTTAAGGCACCCTCTCTTCCTATTTATTTTTATGAGTACCCCTTGCAGGTTACTGTTGCTAAGGAGAGAAGGTTCTCAAGGGCACATTTCTTACTTACTCTAGGTACCCTGGATGGGAATTCCCCTCCTCAGCGGAAGGATGTGGATAATAATTTCTTCCTGCTCTTCAGTGTGGTAGATGAGAACCTTAGCTGGCATATCGATGAGAACATTGTCACTTACTGCTCAGATCCTACCTCAGTAGACAAAGAAGATGAGGCCTTTCAGGAAAGCAATAGGATGCATGGTGAGCTGGGAGAGGGTGGCCACACCATGACAGTAAAGACTGATGGAGAGTTTACATTGGGCCAGCATTTGGTGGGTACTTCCATATATCTCACAAGAACTAAAAGTAATAGGTATATTTTCCCTGTTTTTACTCCTCACAGGAACTAAGAGTAGTAGGTACCTTTTCCCTGTTTTACCTATGAGGAAATTGAGGCTCCAGGATTACACAATAGAAAAACTGCACAGCTAAAATTCCAACACTGATCTGTATAATTGCACAGGCTGTGCTTTTGCCATTAGGTACCTTGCCTCCTAATGTGTAATAGCCAAGGTTATTGATTCCAAAGTCATGTACTTTATTCTAAGTCTCTCAAGGTGAGGGTTGTCCACTGATATAATTAGTCAACATTTCTTTGTCCTAAAAAGGTTGGGAGAATTACCCACTTTGTGAGGAAAAATGGTTGGCTGTAAGGAAGTTGATCACCTTAATTAAATTTAAAACAAACTAAAGACACAAGAGCCCTGAGGCATGGGTAAATAACTGATTTTAGTAACAAAAACAAGTTGATTTTATTTTTGTTTAATTAAGAAAAAGATTTATGTCCCTTTGGTGCCAGAGATGGTCTCAAAGCCTGATAGTCCCAAGGGAAGGTGGAAACACAGGGGGAAGATTTAAGGGATGGCTTGGGCAGCTCAAATTTCTCTTGGGTTTTACACAAATTACCTTTGATAACCATGGTAATTAGCTAACTTGAAAATTCTCCTGTGGAAATTTCAGAAGGAAATTGGCCTGGAAGGGAAGAATAGCTTGCAAAATAAACCCCATTCATTAGAAAGCTTCCTCAGATTGCTGGGTTGGAATCTTGGTTCTACTACTTAACAGCTCTGTGGCCTTGGGAGGGAAGTAACTTCACTTCTCTGGGTCTTGGTTATCTCATTGTTTGCTTGAGATCAGTGATATCTGTTTATTTTCCCAGGCTGTTTATGAGATTTTAAATTTAAAAAAGTATATGGTTAGCACAGTGTGCTTTTTAAAAATTCATCTAAATGTCATCTATTATTATTGTCAGATGGCAAATCTTTCATCAGGCTTCTTTCCTAAGATATTTTCTGATATTTTCTTTGGATTTTCCTTTGCAGCAATCAATGGCTTTGTCTTTGGGAACTTACCAGATCTAAGCATGTGTGCACAGAAGCGTGTGGCCTGGCACTTATTTGGCATGGGCAATGAAGTAGATGTCCACACAGCTTTCTTCCATGGACAGATACTGACCATCCGGGGCCACCGCACTGATGTGGCTCACATCTTTCCAGCCACCTTTGTGACTGCTGAGATGGTACCTCAGGAACCTGGCACCTGGTTGATTAGCTGTCAAGTGAATAGTCACTTGCGAGGTGAGATCTGACATCTTTGACCCTTGAGGTATGGAAGGAAGATGGCATTAATGATCATTTGGAGCCTGGAGCCATAAGATAGGTCTTTCAGATGAGACAGCTAGGTATAAAGGATGAAATACTAGATTGGAATTTTGGGACCTAGCCAGATTTTTCCCTGGATCAGCCATTAACTAGCAGGGTGACCTCAGGGACGTTTCTCTGGGTTTTATCTTCCCCATCTCTGACATAAGATAGTATAGAGATGGATAAGCAGATATTCAAGCTGTTCTTCTTTGCTCAGAATTCTAAGGAATTAATACCTGGAGGTATTTGCAGCTTATTGAACAGGGAGTGAAGGAGAGATTAAAGAAAACAAAGGCTTCTTTGGGAGATCATAGAGTATTGTGGGCAAGTAATGACACACTAGTTGGGACCCAACAGTAACAGGAGTAGAAGGTTTGGTTTTTAGAGAGTACATTGTTGAAGTAATGGCATAGTGCATCCAGGAGCATCAGAGGAGAAGAGGAATATATGAGACAATGAAAAGAGCACTAGACAAGTGATTAGAAGGTTTGAGTTATTGTCTCAGCTCTGTGAGAAACTCACTGTATGATTTTGGAAAAGTCCCTTCCCATGTATAGGCCTCATTTGCCACATCTATAAAATGAGGGGTTTGGTCTAAATAGTCTCTAAGATCCTTGTTATCTCTTACTTTCTAGAATTATTTGATAAATGATAAATTAGGTAGGTGTTAGGAGAGTAATATGAGTATGTGAAAGTAGATTTGAGTAGGTGAGGAGTTATAGACTGGTAGGATAATGAGTCTGTGGTGGTAGGTTTGATGAACAGAGGCCACTTACCCATGCTCCATCATCCAGAGCCCGCCCTTGGTCCCAAAGGTACCTGGGTAAGAGAGTATGAATGAATATGAATGGAAGTTAGGGACGCAGCACAATAGTGAAGCCAGATAAGCCTGAATTCAAATCTTGGTTCTACCAATTGTTTAATTAACTTTGGTAATTCATATAAATTCTCTGAAAGAAGAGAATGAGCATTTAAATTTTCAGTTAAAAGATAGGAGATTAAGTCTCAGCTTCACGACTGACTAGCCATTTAATCTTGGGCAAGTTACTTAACCTCTCTGATCCTTAGTTTTCTTCATCTGCAAAAAGAGACATTAAAAGTCTGTTTCACATGATGGTTATGAGGACTGAAGGATGTAACACATGTAAAGCACCTGGCACAAGGCTTGGCATGTAATACATATTCAACAAAAATTAATATTATTTTCTCCTTTTTCTTACCTCCAATTTCAAATTTACAAATTTCAAATTTCCTTGGGATGACGTGAGACTCAAATGTGATAGTATACTTGAATGACCTCTGTAAGGTGCCAAGCAAATATAAGGCAGTATCATCCATTATCACTATGCCTCAATGTAAATTTTTCCACATTTGGAGATAATATTTAGAATTCAAATTTTCCTGGTATTCCCAAGTCTAAAGCTTCATCTCCATGTATAGAAGATGTTCCATTATTTTGGGAGCTTCCTACTTTACATGTAACTTACTCCCTTTTTTTTCTTACTCCCTCTTTTTAAAATGTGATGCTTCCACCAGCCCAGTGTGATAGACATCCCTATTCTCCTCATTTACAAAACAGGGGTTAAAGTTCAAATCTAGGAAGTGACTGGCCAAAAGTCCTACAGAGATTGATAAGAATTAGAATGGAACTCAAGTATTCTGACTTCAAATTCTGTGATGTTGCTACAATGTAAGCCTTTTGCAGAAGGAGGAATGAGGATCTGGTAAATGAGTCAGTTGTGGTTAGCAGGTGAAGGTACTTGAATTCCCACATAGGCTCCCTTTCTCCCAGCCAGGTTCCTGAGGAGTGAGAGAAAGTGGTCTAATGAAAGGTGGGAGGGAAGAACATTAGAAGGAGAAAGGTGGGTCATCTGGCTACAAGACCTGTTGGGTGGAATGGAGCCAGCCATGATGTTCTTCCTCCAGATGGCATGCAAGCACTCTACAAGGTCAAGTCTTGCTCCATGACCCCTCCTATGAACCAACTCACAGGCAAAGTTCGGCAGTACTTCATTGAGGCGCATGAGATTCGATGGGACTACGGCCCGATGGGGCATGATGGGAGTACTGGGAAGAATTTGAGGGAACCAGGCAGGTAAGAGGCAATGAGTTTCCTCCCCCAGCTTCTGGGCCCAGCCCAACTCCTATTACTCCCTCTCAGAAATCTCTCACTTCACTTGGGGGTTACAATCATTGTCTGGCTGGAATTACATGACAATGGTTAGCCAAATTCTTGTGGTCCCCTGGAGAACGTGCTCTTGGGAAGCTATAAAACTTTTTGTAGGGTTATGTCACATCCTCAGCAAAGGGTTCAAGCAGAGTTTGAGATTGCTTCTGTTATGATCCCAGGCTGCATTAAGAAAATAAGACCCCCCAAAAAACCAGAACAGTTGAAATGGCACTTATCCAACTCTCCTTTATTTTTCTCTTGTTTACCTCATTGTCCCTTCCTCTCTTTTCTATAATCTGAAGGAGGCACTTGGAGAAATATAGGAAGAGCAGGAACAACCTACCTTGTAGCCATTCCATTCTCATCCTTTTGGATGGATTTATCCAAATTCTCCTGCCTCATCCACTACTCAGATGTAGGCAAAATAGGGCAGAAGGTTAGTTCCCTATTCAGATGCTAGGCCTTAAGTTATATTGACTCACTGGGCTATCAGTGATTCCAGGTCTTTTACAGAAGAGGTACTTAGTAAATGACTAGGAGAGTTTTGGGAGGAATATTCTAGGGCACCCATCATATTTATTCTTCCAGTAAGAAATAATGGAATGAATCTAAAGAAACCATAAGAAAATAGGAACTTGGGTCTCAGCATAGCTTCTAGAATCTCCCAACTGTGCTTGCTAAATTAGTGGACTTTCATTTTGGAATGAAGAATACTTTTTAAAAGATTTTATTTCCCGTAGTCCATAGTCTCTCATGGTTCATCTCCCCCTCTTGATTCCCCCCCCTTCATTTTTCCTTTCCTTCTCCTAATGTCCTCCATGAGGGGGGTGGGGGGATGGTTAGCACAGTGATGGGTATTAAGGAGGGCAAGTATTGCATGGAGCATTGGATGTTATATGCAAACAATGAATCATGGAACACTCCATCAAAAACTAACAATGTACTGTATGCTGACTAACATAACATAATAAAAAAAATAAAAAATAAAACAATTCTAAAAAATTAAAGATTTTATTTATGTATTTGAGAGAGAGAAAGAGAGAGAAAGAGAGCACAAGCAGGAGGAGGGACAGAGGGAGAGGGAGAAGCAGACTCCCTGCTGAGTGCAGAGCCTGACATGGGACTCAATCCCAGGACCCTGAGACCATGACCTGAGCTGAAGTCAGTTGCTTAACTGACTGAGCCACCCAGGTGCCCCAAAATGAAGAATATTTTTTATTATCTGAGTTGAGTATCTGAGGATGATTAGGGCAGATATAAGGCTATTTATTGAGTATCTGAGGATAATTAGGACAGATGTAAGGCTATTTAACTTCAGAGGGCAGAACTGGTCCCATTGTCTGAAACTTACAAGAGAAGATTTTAGCCTACTATAAAAAAAATTCCAACCATTAAAACTATCCAACAGTAAGAGGGATTGCTATCTCTGAAAATAAGTCCCTTGACTTTTGAAAGACTCAAGCGGGCAGAAGTCATATATTACTTATTAGTGGTGTCATCAAAGGAGATACATTCATTGGGTGGAACTTAACTTGGATGATCTCTGAGGCTCTTCCTAAACATAAGTATCCATAACTTGATGAGACCAAGGGTGAGATGGGGATCTATTTGATACATAAGTCAGGTGACATTTGCCTTTTTTATATGCCAGTGGCTCAGATAAATTCTTCCAGAAGAGTTCCAGTCGGATTGGGGGCACTTATTGGAAAGTCCGATATGAAGCTTTCCAAGATGAGACGTTCCAGGAAAAGGTGCAGCTGGAGGAAAATAAGCATCTTGGAATTCTGGGTGAGAAATACTTAACTTATGAAATTCACTGACTGGAACTTGAGAACTGGGGAGGACTTAGAAACTGGAGCCTGGGGGTACCTCAGAGGTACACTCGAAACAAACATCTCTCAAACTGAGTTCCAAGGGATAAATGTTTGGTGAAAAAAATGCTATGAGTCTGAATGTGTTTGCCAAACACTAGGTTAAACATGGTCAAATAGTATTCTTTGTTGCAGGGCTTCTCAGAGCCTTTTATTTATTTTTGTTCATCAAAAATATCCAAGATGGGAATAGAGTATGTAAAATTTATCATACTTAATTACTGAACCTTTTATTAGTAAACATCTTTTGGTAGCACTGTTATACAGATCACACTTTTAGAAGTGTTTCTCTAAGTGTATTTCTGAAGAGCTATTTAATGCAGTAAGACTGTCCAGGTTCTTGGCAATATGAGGCCAGGAACAGGTTGACATTACAGGCAGACATGCTTGCTATGGTGAGGGATGCAGTACAAGGCTTAAAGCCTGGTCTTGGATAAGGTATCCAGAAGCACAGATTTGGGTAAAGCACAGTATTGAAATGACATAGCAAAGTTCGGTGTGGTTTAGCCACTTGGTAGAGCCAGGAAGTAAAATAGATTAGATGGAAGAAAATTTTGGTAATGAAAGTAATATAATTGACCATGTTCTGGGGATAAGTGTGTCACAGTTGATTCTAGGCGATCTGAACATGGACAATAGACCTTACATCTGCTAGACAGGAAGATATAAAGAGCAGAAAATCACTTTGGGAAAGACAGTGGACAGTGAGTATTAAAGCTATCATTAGCTGGTGTTCAGTAGAGTTTCAGTCTTTTTTATTCTTCAATATATTAAAATATTGGGGTAAAATACACATAACATAAAATTTACCATCTTAACCATTTTAAGTGTACACTCCAGTGATATTAAATACATTCATAATGTTGTGTAACTATCACCACCTCCACCTTCATAACTCTTTCCATCTTACAAAACTGAAACTCTATACCCATTAAACAATAACTTCTCATTCTTCCCTCCCCCTCACCCCTGACAACAACCATTCAACTTTCTGTCTCTATGATCTTGACTACTCTAAGTACCTTATATAAGAGGAATCATACAATATTTGTCTTTCTGTGACCAGCTGATTTCACTTAGCGTAATGTCTTCAAGTTTCATCCATATTGCAGTGTATACAAGAATTTCCTTTTTTCCTTGACATCTATCATTCCCATGCCCTTCTTTATCTTTTATTAAGCTTTTAAATTTTAATTCCAATATAGATAACATACAGTGTTATATTAGTTTCAGGTGTACAATAGTGATTCAACAATTCCATACATCACCTGGTGCTCATCAAGACAAGTGCCCTCCTCAATCCCTATCACTTATTTACCCCAACCACCCATCCCCTCCCCTCTGGTAACCATCAGCTTTTCCTCTATTGTTAAGAGTCTGTTTCTTAGTTTATCTCTCTCTCTCTCTCTTTCCTTTGTTCCTTTGTTTTGTTTCTTAAATTCCACATATGAGGGAAATCATATGGTATTTGTCTTTCTCTTATTGACTTATTTTATTTTGCATTATACTCTCTAGCTCCATCCATGTTGGTACAAATCACAAGATTTCATTCTTTTTCATGGATGAATAATATTCCATTGTATGTATATAATATTTTGCTTATCCACTCATCCACTAGTGGACACTTGGGTTGCTTCCACATTTTAGCTATGGGGAATAATGCTGCTATGAACATGGGTGTACAATATGTCTTTGACACATGCTTTGGTTACTTTTCAGTATATGCACAGAAGTGGAAATTCTGGGTCATGTGGTAATTCTATTTAAAATTTTTAAGGAACCACCATACTGTTTTTCATGGGCCTGTACCATTTTATATTTCCACCAACAGTACAGAAGGGTGACAATTTCTCCACATCCTTGCCAATGCTTGTTTTCTGTTTTGTTTTGTTTGATAGTAGCCATCCTAGTAGGTGTGAAAAGGTATCTCATTGTATTTTTGATTTTCATTTCTTTAATAATTACTGATGTTGGACATTCTTCCATGTACCAATTGGTCATTTGTGTATTCTTTGGAGAAATGTTTATTTAAGTCATTTGCCCATCTTTAATTGAGTTGTATAATTTTTGTTGTTAAGTTTTAGGAGTTCTCTATATATTCAGGATATTAATCCCTTATCAGACTTATGAACTGCAAATATTTTCTCCCATTCTGTGGGTGGCCTTTTAACTTTATGGTGTATTTTGATGCACAATTAGAAAATAATGAAGTCCATTATGTCTATATTTTTCTCTTATTACCTGTGTATCTGGTGTCATATCCAAGAAATCACTGCCAAAGAAAATGTTGGGAAGATTATGCCATATGTGTTCTTATCAGAGTTGTATAGCTTTAGGTCTTAAATTTAGGTCTTTAATCTATTTTTTAAAATTTTTATTTAAATTCAGTTTAATTAACATATATACCATATTATTAGTTTCAGAGGTAGAATTTAGTGATTCATCAATTGCATACAACATCAAGTGTTCATTACTTCAAGTGCCTGCCCTAATGCCCATCACCCAATCATCCCAATCCTCCACCTACTTCCCCTCCAGCAAACCTGTTTCTTTCCTAAAGTTGAGTCTCTTATGGTTTGCCTCCCTCTCTATTCTTGTCTTACTTTAAGTTCCTTCCTTTCCACTATGTTCATATGTTTTGTTTCTTAAATTCCACATATAACTGAGACCATATGGTATTTGTCTTTCTCTAACTGAATTATTTCGCTTAGCATAATACCCTCTAGTCCCACCCACATCGTTGCAAATGGCAAGATTTCATTCTTTCTGATAGCTGATTAATATTTCATTACATATATACTGCTTCTTCTTTCTCCATTCATCTGTTGATGAACACCTGGGCTCTTTACATATTTTGGCTATTGTGGACATTGCTGCTCTAAACATTAGGGTTCATGCACTCCTTCGAATCACTATGTCTGTATCTTTTGGATAAATACCTAGGGTAGCTCTATTTTTAACTTCTTGAGGAAACTCCATACTGTTTTCCAGAGTGGCTATACCAGCTTGCATTCCCACCAGTGTAAGAGGGTTCCCCTTTCTCCACATCCTCACCAACATTTATTGTTTCCTGTTTTGTTAATTTTTGCCATTCTAACTGGTGTAAGGTGGTATATCATTATGGATTTGATTTGTATTTCCCTGATGACAAGTGATGAGCATTTTTTCATGTGTCTGTTGGCCATTTGTATGTCTTCTTTGGAGAAGTGTCTGTTCATGTCTTCTGCCCATTTTGTGACTGGATTTTTTGGTTTTTGGGGGTTGAGTTTGAGAAGCTCTTTATATATCTTGGATATGAGCCTTTTACCTGTTATGTCATTTGCAAATATCTTCTCCCATTCTGTAAGTTGCCTTTTAGTTTTGTTGACTGTTTCCTTTGCCATGAGGAAGGTTTTATCTTGATGAAGTACAATAGTTCATTTTTGGTTTTGTTTCTCTTGTCTTTGGAAACCTGTTTTGAAAGAAGTTGCTGTGATTGAAGTCAAAGACGGTGCTGCCTGTGTTCTCCTCTAGAATTTTGATGGACTCTTAGCTCACATTTTGATTTTTCATCCATTTTGAGTTTTTTGTGTATGGTGTAAGAAAGTGGCCCAGGGGCGCCTGGGTGGTTCAGTTGGTTAAGCAGCTGACTTCGGCTCAGGTCATGATCCTGGGGTCCTGGGATTGAGCCCCACGTCTGGCTCCCTGCTCAGCAGAGAGCCTGCCTCTCCCTCTCCCTCTGGCTGCCACTCTGCCTATTTGTGCTCTCTCTTTCTCTGTCAAATAAATAAATAAATAAATCTTTAAAAAAAAAAAAGTGGCCCAGTTTCATTCTTCTGCATATGGCTGTCCAATTTTCCCAACACCATGTGTTGAGGAGACTGTCTTTTTCCATTGCATATTCTTTCCTACTTTGTCAAATATTAGTTGACCATAGAGTTGAGGGTCCTTTTCTGGGTTCTCCATTCTGTTCCCTTGATCCATGTGTCTGTTTTTGTGCCATTACCATGCCTTTGCTGCATCCCAGCGGTTCTGAACTATCACGTTTTCATTTTCATTTGCTTCCATGTATTTTTTAAATTCTTCTTTAATTTTCTTGTTGACCCATTCATTCTTTAGTAGGATGCTCTTTAACCTCCATGTATTTGGGTTCCTTCCAAATTTTTTCTTGTGGCTAACTTCAAGTTTTAAAACATTGTGGTCTGAAAGTATGTACAGTAGAATCTCAATCTTTTTGTACTGATTGAGACCTGATTTCTGACCCAGTATATGTTTTCTGGAGAATTTTCCATGTGCACTCGAGAAGAATGTGTATTCTGCTGCTTTAGGATGAAATGCTCTGAATATATTTGTTAAGTCCATCTGGTCCAGTGTGTCATTCAAAGCCCTTGTTTCCTTGTTGATTTTCTGCTTAGATGATCTATCCATTGATGTAAGTGGGGTATTCAAGTCCCCTACTATTATTGTATTATAATCAATGAGTTCCTTTATGTTTCTTATTGTTTTATGTATTTGGGTGTTCCCAATTTGGGGGTATCAATATTTATAATTGTTAGATCTTCTTGTTGAGTAGACCCTTTTATTATGATATAGTGTCTTCCTTCATCTCTTATTACAGTCTTTGGTTTAAAATCTAGTTTGTCTGATATAGGGATTGCTACTCCAGATTTCTTTTGATGTCTATTAGCATGATAAGTGTTTTTCCACCCCCTCACTTCCAATCTGGAGATGTCTTTGGGTCTAAAATGAGTCTCTTGTAGCCAGTATATCGATGGTTCTTCTTTTTTTAATCCAGTCTGATACCCCATGTCTTTTTTTAAAGATTATTTATTTATTTATTTATTTGAGAAAGAGAAAGAGAGAGAAAATGTGCATGAGCAGGGGTAGGGGCAGAGGGAGAGGGAGAGGGAGAAGCAGACTCCCCACTGAGCAGGGAGT